ACAACTCTACAATTAGTGATCACAACGATTGATGATTTGGGAGTTTTACCTTGAATCACTCTAGGCCAATGTGAAATTCAGCAGTGCAATGTCACATTTCTACTTTCCCTGTAATGTTTGACTCTGTTCAATTCATTTTCAAATGGCCTAAGTCTGCATGGCACTGAATGTTGATTACAGAACCTTGGACCAGCTATAAAAGGCGTTCCTAATGAGGCCATGATGATGATGCCAGTCATACGTCTTCAACTCTCTGAGGTGAACGAAAAGTAGATGAACCATGAATCCAACTTATCCTTATCCAGAATAGTTGAGTCGGCATATGTACACGATCCTGGTGGATATTTTAATGTTACACGTGCCCCTGTTGAATCAGAATGCTTTGCTACGCGCCCTTCTCCGAACGTGAACAGCATTTCGTCCTCACTCCTGACAAGTCAGTACATCCGAGGTACCGCTTTTTTCACCCAAAAGATTTTACCAATTTCAGTGAAACACAAATACCCAGAGAGAACACGTGTAAGTGCACATGGAATGTTCTTTTTTTTTTTTTTTTTTATCATTTTTGAAAACATTTACAACTATTTAAGACAAAAGAAAAAGGTAACAAACAGAATTGACCTGCAGTTTGCATCCATTTTCAAAATGTTACATAAATAAAACTCATATTTATAAATATCTCTTTTTATAAACATATAAATAGTTTTTTTAAACATAAATACATTTATGCAGGGGAAGATGAAGTACATGAATGTACAGCAGCAGCAGCAGCAACAATATACAGCTTTGCGGTTTGTAGTTTTTACACCATTGTCCACCATGTTGTAGTATACATCTGTGTTTGTTGACCATTTTATATGGTATATATGTGAATATATACCTCCATATTTATCATATATATACTGCATATATATATATATTTCTATGAGGATTTTGTAGCATTGTCGTCTCAGTCTTTGTTTATGCTGGTCGTGGTGACTTTCGTACCGAAAATCTGTCACTTGATGAGTTTTTCTTTTTCTTTTTTTTTTTTCCCAGGTGAGAACAAACGCAACGTTTGTTGTCCAAACCCATCGTCCAGAGAGCTAGAGAAAGAAAAGAAACAGGAGACAACAGGTTAGACTGAGTTTTCACGGACGTCTTAGTGAACACAATTTATTCTGTGAGTTTTGTCCGGCGTGCATTCATCAGCCTCTCGTCATCCTGGGAACACTCTCAGTAAAGTTGTTAGACTGACTCTTCACCTCTGAACACATCCAAACTTTTAAGGGTGATGAAAAACACACTCGCTCATGTTAGTCACAAAATCACACTCCCCCCCTCATCAGGATTTCACAGTTTGCCACAACCACAAAAAAGGCCTCGAGCCTCTGGACTAATTGTGTGTCACCTAGCTTCCTCATTACTTCATTCACCAACACAGCTCCTTTGTTGTTTTTGTAAAGTAAATGGGCTTCCCAGAAAGATCTGGACCACCACAGGGTGCTGTATGTTCACGTGTGCGTATAAATGTGTGTGTCTGCATCCCCACTTCCTTCCTCCATCTCCCCCTGTCTTTCTTTCTTTTTTTTTCTTAAACATTCTTGTTTTCTACATGAAGCAGATGGGATCCTTCATAATGATGCGCGTAAACACAAGAGTGGAATTCCTAAATGCCCTCTGGATTGTTTCCCATACATCACTTTACATCGGTTTAAGTGGGTTTTCCTGCTGTCTTGAAGGGATGCCTGACCTAGGAGGGAACACCACCACACTGTGGGTTGAGGCTTAATAATATCACGAGTCTGAGACATTGTGCGTTTCCCCTCCTGCAGTTTAACATCATCTCAAGTATCCGCTGTGCTGATGATGCGGAGTCGGTCAGACACACGTGTGATTTCTTAAATCAAACTGACCTCTCACCAAACATATCATCTGGCACTTTACAACCACATACGATCACTGCTTCCCAGCTTCTACGCTGTATATTGCTGCAACTTATACCACGTTTTTATTCGAGCTTGACCTCACTGTGAATTCAAAGCACACACTGTACTGAGAGAACAACCTCCAAAATCTGGTTCTTTGGTCTTGCTGTCTTCCCTTTTCTCTGTCGCTCCTTTGTGCAGCTAATCTACTCTTTTTGTTTTTCCTCCGTCCTTTATCATCTCCTTCAATCCGTCACCTATGTGGAGTAAAGTAAAAATGAATATTTGATTCTTTCCCTACTTTCTTTCCTCATATTTTCCATTCTTCCATCCACCCTTTTGCACAATCCTTCCATAAACTACATCACTGTCCTGCCCTTGTCTCCTTCCTCAGTCATTCTTCAACTCTTTCCTCCTTTTTTTTTACCCTCTGACCTCTGCTTATATATCACTATGCGAGCCTACAGTTTATCCATCTAAGTGGGAGGTGGGACTGTGAGAGCGCACTCACCATCGCAGCGCTGCTCCGATCCTTAGCAGCCCATCCCGCTGATGGTTCCTATCCTGTCCATCTTGTGTCCGAAGCAGCCACTCCGTGACGTGGAGCCCCCTTTCTTGTTTCCTGATTTGTGTCTCCTCGTTGCGGGTTGGTCGTTAAGGAGACGAGCCCACATCCCTCTGGCCCGGGTGTCCATCCGTAAATCTCGCAGTAACCGTATCCGAGAGCGCACAGCGTCTAGCCGCCTCTCCCTCTCCTCCGACTCCAGAAACTCCGCCAGCTCCTCGCCCAGCAAACTTCTAAGAGACTGGAAGATTGAGAAAATAAATAAACGATGTCTTCCCTCAGGCAAAAGAAAAAAAAAAAGAAAAGAAAAAAGCCAACATTGTGCAAAGAGATGGGCTTCTGATAAAAACTGAGATACATTCTCGGTGCCTGTTTGAGCAGAGCAGTCATTTGCATACTGTCTGAGGTGAACCGCAACTTGGTGCATATTTAAGTACTTTCAAACACCATAAGCGTTCGCCCAGAGGGAACATGTTTCTGACAATTTATAGACGCTATTGAGCCGGAGAGTGGTTCCGTCTGACTAAAAACCAAATTTGGAAAAGATCCACATGATGCTGCTGCAGTAGAAACCTCAAAGGAATCCCCTGATATTTAGATTCTATTTGTTTACTATCCAGCTCAGATAAGAACCACAGGTGCCTGCTGCTTGCTCCTCTTTGGCATTAACTTTTTCTAAATTGTGACCATCTAAGCAAATAATAATCACTTCTGAAGCGGCGGTGTTCTTCAGTCTTTTCGGTGCCCTGTTGCGTAATTACGCGCAAAATAGTTTAGTTTGTTGAAGTTCAATTTTGGCAAAGATTTTGAAAAAAGCAGATGTTGATGATAATATAAAATCATTTGGAATAGAGTTTAAAAACCTCCTGATTTCAATGCCCTCCCTGTGAATTATTTCACTCCAAGTCTTCTTTTAATCGTCTTGTTTTGGAGAGCCCAGATGATTTAACTGTGCCCTCAAATGCTAAAACTGACAAATGATGGTGAGGAGCAAATCGGGGTTAAACATCACTGATTTAACAAAAAAAAAAAAAAAAAAAGTATTCTGTCTTTATAAGCCAAGTGAAAGTGGAAAAAAAATTACATGGAAGTTTTAGACTGCGAGTGTGGAAAAAAACTGTCTTTACCGAATTACTAAACATAACTGAAATTATGAAATATGATGCGTACAACAACAGTCCAACAGTCCTGGGCGCCTGGACCACAGAACAGCTGTTCACTCCTGAAGCAGCAGCATTCACTTTCCAACAGCCAACAGTGCGAAGCAAATAAATCTGTTCTCAGTAACAGGGTCAGTGAGTGACTTCTTCTTACCTTCTGCTGCGCCTGATTTAAAGGTTTTGCCCCCATCCTCTGTGAAAGCAGGGTGACCATAAGTCCACACGCCACCAAGTATGACAAGTTCATTTTGACAGGTCTTGTGTTCTTTCAGGGATCCCTGTGCGCTGAAGTTCAGAAAGAAGGACAGTAGCTGCAGCCAATCAGCTGTTAAACATAAGAGGCTTGAGTCCGTCCTTTACTCCAAAGCTCCTCAAGTGCTCCTCTAACTCTGTGTATTAGTCCTCACCGCTTTATAGCCAGCCCATGGTGATGTCATGACAACCTGCGTAATGGTCCTCCTTCCTCGCCAATTCCCTGTTTTCTCTACCTGCCTCTGAGCACGTCGTGCTAGGGATTAATTAAATGATACAAGCTCCGGTCACCGAGGGCTTTGGAGGAAATGATATAGGCTATAAGCGATCAAAAAAGCTCAGTCTTTTTAACTTCTAGACCCCTGGCTTCGGATGCGGCAGCTGAAACCAAAGGTGGTTTCAAAGGCTGCGCGTTAAGAGCTGAAGAGCGACTTTGGCAGAGAAATGACTTCTGAGATGCCAACCGCCTGTCCTGCAAAACATCTTAACAAGTCACACAATATGCTACGCGTGAATGACATATTTTCCTTATAGAAGAAGTGAAAAGTCAAAGTCTGCCGCCGGAATTAAAGAATTGAAGTCATTTTTTTTTTTTAAAAAAGAGACGTTCCAGGGATCCACTGCGATCACATGTACTTTTCTTCATCCAAAGCCTTTTTTTGGAAAGCATCTTAAACAAGTGGAATTGTACTTGAAATAATCTGATATGTCTTTACATCACTACTGTGTCATCCTTCATTTAATTTAAACAAATGTCAGGCGGGTTTTTTCCCCTTTTTTCTTTCTGCCGCGTAATGCAAAGGAACAGGGATGGATTTAAGCATCTGTGCGCAAAGAAGTTACTTGACATGAAGCAGAGCGGTGACATCAGCCACATGGTGCATTCAAGTGAAACGGATCTGACGGCTCATGCGACAGGAATGATTCATACAGAAAATCATTAATGGTCGATCAGAATAACACTGTGCGCAAAAGTCCACACATCATTAGGTGAAATGGGATCTTTGTCGGATTTTATGGATCTTGGTGATATCTATAAGTTCTCTAAGACCTGTGGCATCACCAGAGGAACCACAGAACAAAACAGGCTAAAGGCACAGCCCACAAATGATGAATATTTTGACTGGATGTGTGTGTGACTCTATTCAGAAAGGCACCTGTCCACACTCAAAAAAACGAGGCTGATGTCCTTTATTCTTTACTTTCTGAGCTTTATTAGCTCCACACAGACAATCAAAGCTCTTATGAGTGAGGATGTAATGTTACCACAATCGTGTCATTTCATGTATGCTGCAGTGTAAATCCTAAAACAAAGCTGACTGAGACCATTTCAAACTGTCTTAAATGCCATATATGGCAAGAAAACTCCATGAAAAAGATTCTTTATGTCAAAAGGCATCACTCTAGTCTACCGTCAAGAACCGCAATCAGCACCATAAAGGATTCTGCAGTGCATCCCCCTGCAGTTCAGGTCAAGCATCATAAGGAAGCTTTTGAGGAAAATTCCTGTTTGCACCAAAGAGGTCCAGTAAAACACAACTTGGAGTGTAAATGGTTTTGGCTACAAGCTTTGCACTGCGGAGCCGGACGCTGGAGACACTCAGGTGCTCATCTGTAGCAATAATCTAATGACATGCAGTGTACCCTTTACTTAGGCGTAATAATTATCTTTAATATGCAGAGTTTAAAGCTTCACCCAGAGCAGGGACGCGCTTTAAAAAGTTGCAATCAATACATGAGTTAGCTGGTATCACGAGCTGACACATTATTGGTTAAACTCGACCCTGTCACCCTGCTAAGATATTGATTTGCTTTTCAAAAAAAGAAAATAAAAAATGTATGCAATTCCAGATGAAATTAGAGGAGGTATGTTTTTTTTTTTTTTGCAGTGTTCTGCATGGCCCTGCAGAGTGGAGCTGCAGTTTCAGGCAGCAACGTCTGTTTTGGAACACACAGTGGCAGTATTTGCTGTGCCGAAAAGTGAAATAACCTGCATAGTCACATGTTTACTGGATCAATACGACCCTGTAAAAATAAGCAATTATTCAGCAGGTTATGAGATTTGAATATGACTTTTGAGAGCAGGTTTGGAATATGCAATGAGTAAACCTGATTTTGGGGGTCATGTATTTTGCATGTTTATCGAACTTGTGCAGGTCTGATGGTCATTAAAACGTTTGATCTGTGCCGAATTCTGTCACACCGATGGTGTTTGGATGATAGACAGCGGCGGTGTCTATCAACATATACCCAGTCTATTTGGTTGCACATCAGAAAATAACCAATTTACTCTGTACACTAAAACATGCTGGTTGTGATTTTGTAAGAAAAACAAAACAGTTATTTGATGCATCTTCCCAAAACTTTCCCCTAAAGTAGGGTGAAGGAGTCCTAAACATCTCTCAGTACTGACACTTAATCTAATATATAATAAATAGATGACCAACATGATTTTCATGACATTTACAGTCATAACACTCACCATGTGAACCCATTGCTCTCATCCTGACACAAAGATCTGCAGCTAAACACAAGACAAAAGTTCTATGACACTGTTTGCAGTGTAAAACCTGATGGACAAAGACAGTCTCTTTCGGCTAACAAATGAATCACTCTCCTCCTCAGTCTGTGTAATTGGTGGAAAAACATCTGCCTTGAGGAGGCCAAAGACAAAAGAAAGTGTTTTGTCTCTTTTGCTCCCATATGGAATATTTCCTTCTTTAAGTTGTGACCTCAGAACATCACTGGCTTTCAGCTGCACTTCTAAGACATCGTTTCTGAATAAAACATCTTTCCTGTAATCCTTTGATTCAGTTTGAGTCTTGGTGGCTCTTTTCTTCTGCTCCTGCTCTGCCATGGTGATTATCGTCACTCACACGAGCAGCTTCTTCTATTCAGCCACCAATGTCCAAGAATGAATAAAAGAATTGCTGGGCTGAATTTTTTTATTTTATTTCTTTTTTTTTTTTTTTTTAAGAAGAAAATGTAGGAAGACAGGCTGCAGGGTGGCGCAGTTGGTTAGCACTGTTGCCTCGCAGCAAGAAGGTTGCCGCTTCGCGTCCCGGTGGCGGCACCGGGATCTTTCTGCGTGGAGT